ATTTAACCGAATTGTAACGTTTACCCTCTTGCAATTTAACCTTCCCCTCACCCCCATCCTAACCTTAACCAGCTTGTGCATGCAAAGCTCTGATCGCTGACGCGCTCCAGACATCTGCGTCCTGAGCACGGCCACAGTAACATTATCAAATTAGGTGTCGCCACCTCAAAAACTAATTTAACATGCGATCGTTCATGTCGGCTAATTTCCTTTGATGTTTTCTGTCTTTTATTTGTGCCTGATGCATTTTGCTGCTGTGGAGCGGAGCGCATCACCTGTTTTGTCCTCCGGTGACTCACCGCACTGATGCGGCTGGCACGACCTCCGCTGTTTTTGCGGTCGGTAGATCTTTTAGAACTGCAGTTCAAAGGAAACTCTTGAGGTGAATATATATGAAGGCAGGTAGCAGTTTTTCTTTAGGATTGGGAGAAGATGCAGGAAGATAATAAACAGGGAGGACAGAAAAATAGTCAAATAAAAACAAGTTAGTTTTTGTACCTGGTGGTTGCAACAAACAAACACCATTGAAGGTAATCAGAAGTGAGGAACAGAAAATGAAATAATTATTTCAATGTTTAGATCAGCAGGAACTCTGAGAGGCTGCAGGTGCATCAGTGAGTATGCGGCCGCTGCGCGGGGGGGGGGCTGAAGCAGGGGAACAGTAAAGATGCTGAAACTACCGTTGTTAAAAGAAAAGTGTTTTAACTTAGAAAATGTGGGTGCAATTTTAATTGTCAAAAACTCCAGCAAACAGGTTTTAACGTTGCAAATCTGCAATGCCTGCCACCAGATGGCTAAACCCAATAACACCCTCAGACAAAACACCCAAACAGAAGCTCAGTGGCATCCTTTATGCAGTCCAGTGTAGTGAGAACTGTCCAGATCTTCACATCGAGGAAACTAAACAACAATTACACAAGAGCATGGCACAACACATAAGAGCCACCTCTTCAGGTCAGGACTCTGCAGTCCACCTACACCTGAAGGACAAGCATAGGTGTCATTTTAACTGGGGACGTCGGGGACATGTCCCCGGCAAAATTTGTGATTGGCATCTGTGTCCCCCCCCCACTTTCAAAAAAGCCTGCTGATGAGGATTTTTGTTTTACCAGCTCAGATCTTATACCAGGGGTCGGCAACCTATTCCCATCAAAGAGCCATTATTCCCCATTTCCCACAGTAAAGAAAACACCGCAGCAGCCGCGGCGTTGTGGGCGGGGCCTACCCTCAGACAGCAGAAAGCTGCTCACAACAGGTGACAGCAGCCGGTACCGGTCACTCGCATGGGCGTCGCACCCGTGGGGGATTCAACACCCACGCTTTTCCAGCTGTTTTGCTCACCTCCACACCAGTCTGGTTTCTTTATGTTGCACTCACTGTGTTTCAATGTTCAAGGTTGTCTTTATTAATCCCCAAGGGGGAAATTGAATTGCCTTGGACAAGTAAACACAACATGCATATCCACACAATAAAACATTCACTGGTCCTGATAAAATATGAAAATATCCAATATACAATCATACGAAATGGTCATTGTAAAAACGCACTGCCTCATCTCCTTCTTCACCTCCCGCTTCTGACAGCCGATGTCGGGTTTCCAGGAGAGCAGAAGAGGGAGGGACGGAAGAGCTCGACTGAATTCATAATTTTACATCTTGACATTAGCTGTACAAAGTCTGAGTTTGATAAAGTGAAGAACAATAATTTGCAGAGGTTTATAACAGGCGCGGCGCCAGTTTTTCATTTTTGGGTGGTCCACGGTCATTCTGGACGGACCTTAATAAGCAGTGACTTAAGTGAAGCAGGCAGGTCGCGCTAGAAATTTTAGTTTAAAAAGACGTCATAAATGTGTTCCCCCGTCATTTTTATTTCTAAAATATGAAGTAAAAACTCACAATTTAATTTTCATTCATTTGTCATTAATATGTAGTCTACACCCGTGCGTTAAGTGGACCATCTTCCAGTAAAAGCAAAGCATCCAGCCCACCTCTCCAAATGCGTAAAATGTGCATCAGCCGCTAGTTAGGCGCGCCGCGCGCACCGTCAGCTACGTCAGCCCAGACAAGAGCAGAGCAACTAGAGAAAGAATAGAGGATAATTTTATCTGGATGTGGATGGAGATTACATTTTACAGCAGCCTGATCATCATTTAAATACGTAACCCATCACCTGTCTTCTAGTCCTCGCTATCAGCATTATTTTATTTGGTGTGTGTGTGTGTGTGTGTGTGTGTGTGTGTGTGTGTGTGTGTGTGTTTTCCACTTCAAACACTGGTCTAACCAACCAGACCAGCGTGTCCAGTAACATATTAATGTTACAATTAAACAGTTTCACTTCATGTAGGCTAGGAACATTTCACCTGCCGTGGCCCGACCGCTTCTGCTCCACATAAACTTTGTGCGTGATCAAATGTCTCTACAGGTGCTTTCTGAGCTGAAGAGGCTATTCTGCCTCAGACTGGATGCGTCATGCGTCTCCATATTAGAGACGGGAACAAGCGCTGTTCAGCCAAAGTTTCATAATTTCACAAAAATAACATTTTTCCAAGTGACACATCCCTCAGAGAGACCGGGTTTCCAGACCGCTTCAGTGGGAGGAAATCTTACCGCATGCACCGTGGTTCTGCACTGTGCTGCAAACCCCTCTACAGATCTTCAGCCCACTGTCCACCGTATGCGCTCCGAGCCGCGCTGAACACAGTGTCCAGTATAAAGCTCTGATGTTCTGATGGGAATCATTTCTTGATTGATTTAGTTACCTCTGCGATGTGCGTAACGATTAAAATGTCAGCTCATCAGTGTGCGTCGGGGTAATTATTTCAAAACAACCAACATCCTTGAGTTTATCCATCAAAATAAACAGTCAAAGGAAAATATCTGTAACCTGTCATTTAACTGTTTTGCCTTCTTGTGAAGATTGTTGCAAAGAGAAACAACTAAACCTGATTAACCCCAGAGCCACGCTTACTGCGCTGTACTAAGCTGTACTTCGTGACTGTAAATGAGGGGGAAACGATTTAATCGGATCCTTTTCTTTTCATCATGGTTTAATGTAAAGTTTCATTCAGTACAAACTTTAGTTACACCGATCTAACGAGACAGAGCCTGGATTTGTATTCTGAACAGTTTAAACATGTTTAAAACGGAGACGTGCGTGACGCGTCTAAAATTCGCACCTGCTCCGCTATTATGGAAATTAAACTAACAAGATGAATAACATAATTATTTTAGGCACAGACAACATCCCCCACACTTTTGAAAATCTTGCAATGCGCCTGGTCGCTCGTGTATGTCAAAGTTATCTTTCATAAGACGATAATCAATAAAACGATTCATATCAAGTGGATCCAGAAGTTGTAGCCCGTCTCTGCCAACAATATTTGGATATTTCTCACCCTGTTGATGGTTTTACTGAGCAGGTGCCACTTTTGTCATACGTTTCTTTTTAAAACATGTTTAGACTGTTCAGAATACAAATCCAGGCTCTGTCACATTTGATTGTTGTAATTAAACTTTGTAGGTGGGGAAGGTCAGAAAAGGATCCGATCATTTTGTTTTTCCCTCATTTACAGTGACGGAGATAACGGTGCAGTGCGCCTGGCTCTGGTGTTAATCAAGTTTAATTTTATCTATTTTCACAAGAAAACAGAACAGTTAAAAGCAGGGCTTGTGTTGACCGGACAGTTCGCGTATTTGACCGTTTATTTTGACGGAGAAAGAATAGAAAGAATTACCCCGACGCATGCAGACGAACTGACATTTTATTCTACGCACATCGCAGATGTAGCTAAATCACTCAAGAAAAGATTCCCATCTGAACATCTGAGCTGGACACTGCTCAGCGCAGCTCGCTGTCAGCGCGTCCGTACGGTGCACAGCGAGCTGAAGATGTGGAGATTGGCTTGGAGTGCGTCGCAGAACCAGAGCCCATGCAGGAAGGTTCCTCCCACTGAAGTGAGAGTTTTCCAAACCCTGTCTCTCAGAGAGACTTGTCACTTAGAAAATGTTCCCTGATTATGAAACTTTGGCTGAATAGTGCTTGTTCCTGTCTCCAATGTGACGACAAATCCAGGAGCCGTCTGAGGAGAATCTGAGAATCTCACATCCTCTTCAGCTCAGAAAGCGCCTATGATTACGTACAAGCGTGACGCGTCAACCCGGTCTCACAGTAAGACCGGGTTGGACCTGTTCAGGTTTACGCAGACAATCTTTACATTTAGAATTGGCATACAGATGTAAAATTAATGCAGTAAAATATAAAGCATTTTATTTAAATATCCATTCATTATTTTACAAGCACAGAGAGCCGCGTCAGATGGATGGAAGAGCCGCATGCGGCTCCAGAGCCGCGGATTGCCGACCTCTGTGCTAGCCTACTTTATTGTCCCCAGCAATTTTTAAACCCCACTCAAGTGTATGGTTATTGTCCCCAGCAATTCTGAAAACAAACTGACGTCCTTGAGGACAAGGGACACACCTTTGAAGATGACAAAGTCCACATTCTGGACAGAGAAGATAGATAGTTTGAGAGAGGAGTAAAAGAAGTTAACTATGTCAAATGTGGAAAAACCCCACTTTAAACAGGGGGAGGGGCTTATATTTCACCTTTCCAGTACCAATAATGTAGCTTTAATCTCGTTCCTAGTCTAGGTCACACCTTCCTGCATCTAATCAACACAACGACTCCCTCTCAATAGAGGCCAACAATTCAAAAGAGGATGGAGAGGAGGGGTACTCTGAGTAGTTTCTGCTCGTTAAATAACAACAGACAGCTACAGCTTATAAGCTTGACTCTCCCATATTCCAGTTAGAATTAACAAAGCTCCTCAGATGAGATGAGAAACATCTTCAAGAAACCAAAGACGTCCAGCTGGCTTCATTTGAACCCTTTGGATTACCGTGATGCGGATGACTGAGAACCTTCACCAGCAAAAAGAAGTGTATCTATTTATTTTGTTGATGTGATGTAAACATTTGAGTTAGTTGGGGTTGATGCTTTACCATCTGTCTCTATGATGATGATGTTCTGGGTCTCGTTGGAATGATCACTGTTTTGTTTTAAGAAGCTCATTGCCCTTAGGACATTCTGCAGTGCAGAGTCGAGGTTGGTGCCTGTCCTCCTCCCATGGCCTTCAGACAAATAAACAAAATGCCCTTAATCACCTAAACAATCAACAGGTGAAGCGACTCACAGAATGAATCGTTTTAATTGTAGTGTGTTGCATGGATTCTCATTCCAGATGGGAACAATACAATGAAAGAGCAAGTCAGGTCCTACTTTGGTGGTCAAACTCCATCAGGGCCAATATGACCTCATCAGCATTCCCACTAGTGGCCAGGTCAAGAATGTCTACAATAGTCTGTGTTTCACTGGCAAACGACAACACGTGGAAATTCAGCTGGACGTCATAGCTATCGAGCTGGAGGGACAGAGAAGAAGACACTTGCTGGAAGAGGAAAACAAAACAAAACAAAGTAAGTAAATGTTTTCAGACTGAAACATTCGTGCCAACCTTTCTGATCAGGGCAATGGTGGCTTCCCTGGACTTATTAAAGTCAGCCTCCTTGATGCTTCCTGATGTGTCCAGTAAGATGTAGACATGCATGTGACTAAATTCAGCCACTCGCAAGAATCGGCCAAAAGATGCACTGCTATCTAACACACACACACACACACACACACACACACACACACACACACACACACACACGGCTTTTTCTATTTTGCTTTTTTTACATTTAAAGCTCAAGATAACTGCATGTGTTGCTTTGAACCCACTTTTCTTTTTGAAGTCTGGAGAGAGTACATCCATCACTCCTGCAAGGGATCCCGCCATGGCTGCAGTTACAAAACTGGGGGAATCAAAGGTATTCGACCCTGTGAAGGAGCATGAAAATGACTACAGTTGGAAAAAAATTCAAATCTGTGTTGTAGCATCAGAGGAAGCTACATTTTAGATGCTTACAACAGTTATGAGCTTTAAACATCTTTGGTATGTTCTTGCTGAGTTGAGTTTCTAACTGCGTTGTTGGTTTTTATTTAAAACACAGAAAAGGTTTCTTTCTACCTTGCTGACAGTTTTGTTTGCGGCTGCAAACTTCCTCAGAGCTGACGCTGATGGTTGCGTCCCCTCCCTCTCCGTTTATCCGCGTGCAGCAGAGGACGTTGTCGCCCTCTGCTGCACGCTCTCCCCTCACCAATGACACAGTCCCATGCACGATTCAATGTGTAGACCCCATCGTCTTTGTTCATGGTCCCACATCCACGTCTCCTTATCTCTATGGCTTCCTTTATCTATCTTTTGTGTGAAATACAAAAGATGGATAAATAAACGGAGAGGGAAGTGACGCCACCGTCAGCATCAGCTCTGAGGAAGTTTGCAGCCGCAAACGAAATATTAGCAAGGTAAATAAAACCTTTTCTGTGTTTTGAATAAGAGCCAACAATGCAGTTAGTTATGAGCTTTATTTTAGTTCCTGTTAGGGACAGAAAGAGGTAATGTTATGCACCCTGGCATCGTGGTGCAGAGCCACTCCACTCCCTGTTCTCCAGGCAAACCCTTTCAGCTGACCCCAGCAGAGTCAGACCAGACTGGCATCGGTAAGTCACTTTCTCTCCTTTTTGAAACCGTCCCGCTGACCTTTCGGCACCAGGTGGAACACCCGGGTCACTACAATCATCAGCTGCAGTTTGAAAACACACAAAGTCATTTTTGATTAGAACAGGATGTTAGACTGTGTGTTGTTTGGTTTCCTCACCATGGTCATCACAGACTGGAGTGACTCCAGTCCAGTCTCCAGACTGAGTGCAGTTTCTTCGCTCTGACCCATACAGGGTGAAGCCCTCCTGGCAGGAGAAGCTCTGTGTCATGCCGACTCTGAACCACTGGTTCCTAGGCCAGAAGTCACCGTTGTCCAGCTGAAGCTGAGCTGGACACAATATATCTGTAAGCAGAGGAGGGAAGGACGTCCAGGAAGTGGATGTGGACAAGGGTAGGTGTGCAAATGAAAGACGTTTCCATCTGTCATAGTTTACCCTTGCACGTGGCCTGGGACACACGTTTGCCACTCGCTAGCCTCATGGATGTCCACTCCCCCTCAGCATTGCAGGTCCTGGAGATGACAGGGAATGGGTACATCCCAGAACCACAGTGATAGGTCAGCACGCTGCCCTCCAGACCTCCCTGAGGAGGAAATGTGTGTTTTTGATATTAAGTAAATAACAACAACGCTTTCCAGCACAAACATGCTCACACTGCCCAACTCTTTTACATCTCATTTTATTGTCTAAAATAAGTGTTTGTGTGTGTGAATTAACCCAATTCCGGATGGTCGCTATGATCATTACTCACACAGAAATTAAACTTGTGTTGTTTAGAGAACAGGCTTGGCTTGAAGACATAAAAAATGGGAACCTTGGTGTTGTCTTTGACCAGGACATGTCATTCAAATCCCAAGTTAAACAGGTTTGTAGGATTTCCTTTTTCCACCTTCGGAATTTTGCTAAGATTAGAAGCATCCTTTCCAGGAGTGATGCTGAAAAACTAGTTCATGCATTTATTACATCAAGACTGGATTACTGTAATCCATTACTCTTAGGAAGTCCACAGAATGTAGTTAAAAGTCTTCAGCTTGTCCAAAATGCTGCAGCTAGAGTTCTGATGTTCAATTTTAGGCCCAGTGCTCTTTAACCTTTATGTGCTCCCTCTTGGCGGAGTCATCAGGAGACACGGGGTGAATTTCCACAACTATGCTGATGATACACAGTTGTACATCTCCGTGTCTCCCGATGACTCTCGGCCAATGGATGCACTTTTTAACTGTATTTTTGACATTGAATCCTGGATGGCAGAAAACTTTCTCCAACTCAACCAGGACAAAACTGAAGTTTTAGTTATCGGTCCTGAGGCCCAGAGAGATCAACTTTTACCAAAATTACACTCTTAATCCATCTGAACAAGTGAAGAACCTGGGTGTCATTTTTGACTCTGAGCTGACTTTTATCCATCATATTAAAAATATCACCAAAATAGGTTTTTATCATCTAAAGAACATCGCCAGAGTCCGCCCCATTCTCTCTCGGGCCAATACGGAGACGCTGATGCACGCTTTTATCACCAGTAGGATAGACTACTGCAATGCCCTGCTTTCTGGTCTTCCTAAAAAGAGGATTTCAGGTCTACAACTATTACAAAACTCAGCAGCACGTGTCCTGACAAAGACCAGGAGGTGGGAGCACATTACTCCAGTTTTAGAATCGCTGCATTGACTCCCTGTATGTTTCAGGATCGATTTCAAAATACTTTTAACGGGTTTTAAGTGTCTTAACGGTCTTGGGCCTTCTTATCTTTCAGAACTGCTTTTACCGTATGAACCCTCGTGGTCTCTGCGCTCCTCTGGCAGCCATCTCCTTGTCATCCCTAAAGTCAGCACTCATATTCACGGTGAGGTGTCCTTCCAGTACTACGGTACTCGCCTCTGCAACGAGCTGCCAGGGGACCTCGGGGCTGCTGAGAACGTTCATGTTTTTAGAAACTGGCTCAAGACCCATCTTTTTAGCTTAGCTTTTAACTGATTACTATCTCTTTTAAAATTAATTAATTAATGTAGTTATTTATTTTTTTATCTATTTATTTCATTTATTTAATGTATTTTTTCTTTATACGTGCTTTTTAAACAGTTTTTTACCTTAGATTTATGATCAACATTATTTTAATATCTATATAACTTTTTGTTACAATTCTCATTTTAGCTCTTTTGATTATATATTTTAACCTTAATTTAACCTTTTTCCAGTGTTTCCTCTGTGGGAGCCCTCTGCCCTGGTGGCGGTAGTCGGCTGTGGCGGCCTGGGTGCTTTCCAGGTGTGCCTGGGTGGAGGTGGGGGTCTCTGCCTTCCCTGCCCTGGGCGCCCTGTGTCGGTGCCTCGGCTTCTGCTGTGGATCTGCTGCTGTCGGGGCGGATGGCTCCCCTGATGGAGTTTCCTTATCTTAGCTGGTCTGGCTCATCTGATCTCAGTTAATCGTGTTTTTTTCCATGGGAAAGGGGGTATGTGTGTGTGTGTGTGTGTGTGTGTGTGTGTGTGTGTGTGTGTGTGTGTGTGTGTGTGTGTGTGTCGGAGTATGAGTGTTGTGAAGGGGTTTTTATTGTCAGACTGTTTTTAAAATTCTGGGGATGGGAGGGTCTGATCTAGCTAATCTGATGTTAGCCTAAATCGGGACAAGTGGGGGAGTAGAGGGAGGTGGAGTGTACAGTCGGTAAAGACAGCTCTCCCTTGCCCTGCCTCCAACATCCCTCCATCTAAAAGGCTAGGTTATCCAGAGTTATCTCTGTAGTTATGCTGCTATAGGCTTAGACTGCTGGAGGATACACTGACCACTTTTCACACTCTACTGCTTTCTTCTACAATCTGCTCTTTAACTGTATTATTTTCTGCAATTTCAGCTGTTAACTTTATTTTCTCTCTAAGTGTTTTTCTCCCCAGAAGAAGCTACAACGATGTTCTGCTGAGCTGTGGTGGCTTCATGGAGGGGGTCATCCTCTAGCACACTGCTGATAACCACTTAAACATTCTCCCTCTCCTGATAATAACTTTTTACTCTTTTTGTCATTGAATGTGCTACTACTAGTTTACCCGTTTAATTATAGATTCACTAGGATAAATACAATAAAGTTTATCTCTCACCAAATAGAATATTTACTAAGAAATCACAATGTAACCATAGAAACACTACTTCCTGTATATGTTTTGTGTGTGTGTGTGTGTGTGTGTGTGTGTGTGTGTGTGTGTGTGTGTGTGTGTGTGTGCTCTGTCTTCTCCATCCCCAGTGAGTCGTGGAGGATGGCTGCTTATACTGAGCCAGGATTCTCTGAAGGTTTCTTCCTGTTAAAAGGGAGTTTTCCTCTCCACTGTAGCTGCATGCTTGCTTAGTATGAGGAGTGCTGTAAAGACACTCACACTAGTCAGTGACTCGATGCAATCTGCTCGGTTTCTTATATAGGAAACATTTTTTTCTTACTGGCTTAATGAACTGACCTGGATTGGAATGTTTATTATGTGAAGTGCCTTGAGACGACTCTTGTCGTGATTTGGCGCTTCATAAATAAAATTTACTTGAACTGAATTCTAAGTCTGCTAATAATAAGACACTATTTTCCATCTTTAACAGGATTTTTCAGCCACCGGAGTCACTGCCTATCCACTTTTACTCCTCGGACACCTGTAACTCCCTCCTCCAGTTCTTCAATGATAAGATCCGCAGAATCCTCCATAACCTTGGTACTCACCCTCTGCCTGATCCCTTTGCTGACCTCTTTAATCCCTCCCTTCACTTTGCCTCCTTTAAACTACCTCACCCATCAGAAATCTCTGACCTCATTTCAAAGTTGAAACCTTCCACCTGTATGTTAGATCCCCCTTCCCACAGTCCTTATTAAATCATGCCTCCCGTCTCTCCTCCCTTTCATTACAGCAATTATTCATTCTTCATTATCATCTGGAACAGTTCCTTCTCCTTTTAAATCCACAGCCATCAGTGCCATACTAAAAAAGCCTGGTTCAGATCCAAATGACTTCAATAACCTCTGTCCCATCTCACACCTTCCCTTCATTGAAAAAGTTCTAGAGAAATCTGTGGCATTGCAACTTCATTCCAATCTCACATGTAATAAGCTCTATGAACATTTTCAGTCTGGCTTCTTTCTGCATCACAGCACCGAAACTGCTCTCATTCGTATAACCAATGATTTACTTCTTGCTACTGATTCTGGTCTCATTTCCATTCTCCTTCTCCTTGACCTGAGTGTGGCCTTTGACACCATCTCCCATTCGATCCTCCTAAATAGACTCTCTTCTCTTGGTATCACTCACAACCCCCTCCTCTGGCTCCAGTCATATCTCACTGGCCACTCTCAGTTCATTCAGTTAAAATCCTTGTCCTCCAAACCATCCCCAGTCACCTCAAGTGTGCCCCAGGGCTCTGTCCTGGGTCCTCTTCTGTTTATAATCTATCTCCAACCCCTCAGCAATATTTTCCGTAAATTTGGCATACAATTCCATTGCTATGCGGATGACACCCAGCTCTTCATTTCTAGTAAGCCCCATTCCACCCTTCCGCCATCCACCCTTACCCTCTGCCTCTCAGAATTAAAAAAATAGTTCACCTCCAACTTTCTTAAACTTAATGATAGTAAAACCGAACTTCTCCTGGTCGGTACCAAGTCCAACATCGCCAAAATTGACAGTTTCTCCATAACCATTGACAACACCGAGGTTACCCCCAACCGTCAGGTTAAGAGTCTGGGTGTCATCCTCGACAGCTCTCTCTCGTTTCAGGCTCACATCAATAACATAACTCGGTCTGCATACTTTCACCTCTGATTCATAAATCGTCTCCGCCCTTCCCTTGCGTCTAACGCTACAGCCATTCTAGTCAATAGCCTTGTCACCTCCCGCCTTGATTACTGTAGTTCACTTCTGTACCGTCTTCTATGAATAATGATATGTGATGTATATGCGGTGATGGAATGTGTGTTGTAGGTGGTGTGGTGTAAGGTAGATGTGTATCAGAACCTTTGTATCTGAAAGAAATTGTGAATTCTGGGTATAAAATAAGTTGTTGTCTGCTATAAACTAGAGAGTTATTAATAAAACAACATCAGACGCAATCTGTTGTGTCTACAAACCCTGATCAGAGACCTCCGGTCAGATCCAGAATGTCAGGAAGTCGGGTGGACCTCAAGGCGCCAATGTTCATAGAATAACCGCAGTGTGACCAGTCCAGTCTAGAGATGTCTCCAGGTCACATCAGGCAGGAAGGCTTGTTTCATCTAAAACGGATGGCTCGTAAGGAGCCGTATGGCTGTGTCAGCTGGCAGTGGGCCAACAGCTTAGGTGTGTTCTTGCTGTGTTGTTCTAATTCCATGTTGTCGTTCTTTTTTAAAACACAGAAACGGTTTTGTTACCTGCTGATGCTACGTTTCGCCGACGGCTGCGTCCCTTCCTTCTCCGTTTATCTGTGGGCAGCAGAGGACGTTGTCGCCCTCTACTGCCCGCTGTCCCCTCTCCGAAAGATGGATCAAGGAAGCAATCGAGATAAGGAGACGTGGATGTGGGACCATGAATAGGGACGACGGAGTTTACACGCTGGACCACGCATAGGACTGCATCGTCGGAGAGGGGACAGCGGGCAGTAGAAGGCGACAACGTCCTCTGTGAGTTTGAGTTTTACACCCCTGGTCTAGAGTTTATGATTTCTGCAAATCAGAAATTGACATGTTGTAGGCGTTACCAAACATCCCTCAGAAAACCACATCTTCCAGATAGATACAAGCTAGTTCTGTGGATAAAGAATCTTTAAACATTATGTGAGACGGCCTTAACCTTAATTTGCATCTAATGAACATTGTGTATGAGTGTAGATAATGAGTAACTTGTTAAATAAAACAGTACTGATCATAAGATATAGGGTTGTCACGGTGTGAAAATTTAACCTCACGGTTATTGTGACCAAAATGACCACGGTTTTCGGTATTATCGCGGTATTTTTTTTAAACGTGCTACATTTTCACACAATTAGATAAACCCTGTATGTCAGGAAATATTGTCCTGAGTTTGTGTCTAAATTTTGCCTAAAATGTGTTATTTTGTAATTATGTTGTTTGTTTATATATTTCCCCTTTAGTCTTTAAAATACCAATATTTGCCCATAACTTCTTATTTTTTGTCTGTTTGATGTCATCATTTAAAAATTATTAGATCAGATGAAACTCAGTACTCAAGTAGCCTTCTAATCAGATACTTTTTTACCCTTACTTGAGTAATAAACCCTATATCAGGAAAATATCGTCCTCGGTTTGTGTCCTTCCAGTGAGCTTTGCAGATGTGGGAAAATGTCATCAGGCAGTAATCGTTGTTAAATTCATAATTATTCTCGGAGAGAGACCAACTCTTATCTGTCCCTGGGAGCCCCGTAATGCATAGCGTCATTTCAACATGGCGGTGTCCGCCACACGGTTTATATGCAGGTAGCGGCGCTGCGGCTGCTTTATATAGCGACTCGTTGCTTTCTCCCTCAACCCAAATCCTCGGATCACGCATTTTAGCTAAAACGCTAACGTTAGCTTGCCTGGCGTTGACTGTAGAGTTGTGGGTGATGGTCACGCAGATGTGCCATGAGATTTGAAGCGTTGCTGCCTTTCACAGACACTTTTTCTGCACATGCTGCAAACAGGATAGCCGTCTTCTATCAACTGTCCCTCGGCATTCTTCAAATATCCAAAAGATGCCCGTACTTCCGACTTTATCTTCTTTGAGGGATAAAAAATGTCCTCCTGAGCGCTGCCGTCTCCTCCTTTGGCCATTATTTCAGCTTAAGCTTCAAGAAAGTTTTGGTTGTAAACATCAAAGCGCGCATGTGCCGCTGGCAACTTCAGCAGATGATACGGTGGCTGGTAAGGGTCACCGCGCCTACACCGCAGCCACGGTAACCCACCAAGATAGTACTTTTTTTTTTAAACAAGACGGTTATTATTATTGTCAACTTTTTTTACCGGGGTTTACCGCTACACCGGTTACCGTGACAACCCTAAAAGATATAAATGGGTTATTGTAAGACAATATTCATTTCAACTTCACTGAATTAGGCACAGATTATTCAAACATTTCGTATAACATCTGGTTCATTCAACCATATAATTATATAATTTATGAGTTGTAAAAGTTCACTTTTCATTCAGAGTGTGGAATCCAGCAGTCTGAGATAAGTTTGACAATCTTGTCCTCATGGACTGTCAACAAGCACTGCAGAGTCTTCTGGGTGTTAGAAGATAGAGTAGAAAATCCACCTAAATAGTGGACTTATGTCTGTAGGTGACCGGTCACTGTCGGTCAATATATAGGTCAAAATGGACCCTTTTCTGGACGTTACACTTATGACCGAAGAATGTCAGGACATCATGGAGTTGCACAGAAAACGTGTATTAACTCAACCATTCCCAAAATACATTCGAAGATGTAGTCACCATGAGGAAGGAGGAGCTAAGTTACAGGAACCTGAAAGGCACAAGTTGCCAATACACAACACAAAGTCATTAAGATTTGACCAAATTGTCATCATTTTGTAACAAGATGATCTTAATTTGAAACTCTCACATGAAAGACTTTGATTCTGTCTCTTTCTTTACCTCCCAGTATGAGTTCAGTGGTATATTCATCATATCTGATTCGGACACAGCTGTTGATGGCCCGATATCTCGGTTAGTGACTACAATGCTGATATTTTTCTAACATACGTAGAACATGTAGTTGTATTACAACTGCTTTATTATGTGAAGAGCCAACCTGAGGGACTGATGCTGTTTGATTTAATAGCGTAAAACACCAGGTTTACCTGTGAGTAGGTAACGTGCCCGCCTTTGATGCTCTCTGAGACTGAGCAGTTCAGAGGCTGAGGGTCTTGTAACATTTCATACTCAAAGTCGTACTCCTGCAGAGAAACTGGAGCACAAAGGTTAGGGGTTGTTGACAAGCAGGAACTGCACACATCTTAACCCTAACCAAAACACCCCAGTGATGTACTAAAGAGCAGTAAAACATGGAATACTCACTCCCATGGATGGAGATGGAGAGCAGGATCCACATGGCAGATTTAACAGTCATGATCTCTGGTTTCCCGACATAAAAAGGCAGAAATACCTGATGTGAGCATCTGAATCGAACTATGAGCAGTTGCTTTATTTGATGACCGATTATCCATTAACACAGCACCACCAAACATGAGCAGATTGAGCAACAGAGGACAGGACAGGATTTATATAAACACTTTCAGGTTTGTGGTGCCACTTCTTCTGCTGCACGATTCTACTAATTCTTACAGTTTCAGTGAAACAATAATAGGTGATCCACGTCCACATAGTTTATAGTTAACCAGATTTTACCAGCTTTATTCCCACTTGTGCATCTGCCCCTCTTGCTGGTATCCATCAGTCCTACACCCAGCTTTACTTGTTGTGTGCAACATATAAAATGTGTACTTAACTGATGTTGTGTTCACTTGCACTCAAAGATTTTCTCAGTGTTTCAGCTAAACATTTCTGGAGCTGGAAAGGTTGTTATGCAGATTAAAGGGATTTAACCCCACCCCCTCCCCCTCGCCACCCGCCAGGGCACAGTCTGCTCAGGTGACTTGGCTTTTCTCAGCACCAAGTTTCTAAAACCTCTTTGTAGTCGGTCTGATCCAACCAAAAACAAAAGAAACTCAGTCTGAAAGTGTCCAGGCTGGACCAGAAACCACAGCAACACTGGAGTCTGAAAAATGTTTAATATGAAGGATCAAACTTCATTTTCCTGCTCTGTGAATTGTCCTGCTGGATTTACTACAAAGGATGCTGCTGTCTCCAAGGACTGAAGCTTGCACAGCAGCAGCATGAACAGTCTTCATGTCCTCCCAGGGACACTCATCAGGACGTCTGATCCTTAAAAGAGAGGGTAGTTAACGTCTCTTCTTCCCTGAGAGATGTCGGACCTCAGCCAGGTCTCTGTATACAGCGACTCCTCTGACTTTTATAAGGTGAGTGGGACAGCTTGGCTTGGTTCAGAGCTCCGACAAAGACATGAACACAAAACTCATTTTACAGGAAACCCAGACTTTTGATGTTAGAATTGAATAAAACTTTTTATGTTTGAACTGCTTAATGTGAGGCTGAATCTCAGGTTCAGACGTTCCTGCTGGGTCAGGGATGTGATTGTTGTTGAAAACTGATATTCGTGTTGTCTTGTCTCTGGGTTAACCCTTTATCTACTGTGTGGTTTTCCTCAAAGCCTGAAACAATCATTATTAACGATCGCTAGTCGATGGAATCATGGTTAACTTGTAAGACTTTCCTCATAATTCTCCCCAAACAGCAGATCTGAAAGGAAAATGTGTGTGAAGATTTGATGAGAATTGGGCTGCTGGAACAAATGCAGAGATGAGACCTGTAAAATCAATCTGTCTGCTACCTGGATTTTCTATTGACTTAAACAGTTTGATTAAAATAGAGTCAAATAATCTAAGTTTGTCATTACTATAAAATCCCATATAAATCAAGTAACTGGTCACAACATTTCACAAACTTGTAAAATGGAAGTAAAATGGCCGTAGGTTTTGCTCATAGCAAGGGAAGGCTGGTTCTATCTATTTGCAAAGGAACACCATTTTGCACCTGCACAGGAGCATCTCAAGTTTCAGACCATTTGCTGGAACAGTAAGTATTATCTCTATTTTTCTTCGTTGTAGACATGTTTTGCTTACACACAAACAGGTATAAACAGACCACAGACCTTAATGACTTTACATTTAACTTCCTCGTATTGATGATTCCTGTATTTTTGAATGCTGAGCGCGCTTTGTCTCTTCTCGTCAGGCCAACCTGATTTAGTGGTGTTCCTGAGTGTGGTCAGCTGTGTGTCTTGGGCTGTTGTTTCTCTGATCTCCTGCATCTTGGCTGTCCTCACTGGAAGATTTCTAGTGATTGTGTCTACCTGCGCTGCCAAACCTTCCAAATAGCACTGCATTTAGTTCCTTCTCTATTTGTGCAAAGTTCTTTTCTGTATTCTTAAGTGATTTGGATGCGTATGCTAAAGGTTTCTCATCTTGGATCATGACAACTCCTAGGCTGGATTTTGAGGAGTCGACCTGGAGTCACAGCTCTGTCTGGGGTTCAAAGAATGCAAGCACAGGGTGGTGTGCTATTAGATGTTTCATCTGTGCGAATGCTTCCTGATGCTGCGAATTCCATGTGATCTCATTTTCTTGTCTCAGGAGCTGTCGCTGTGGCGCGTTTCTCTGAGACAGGTGAGGTGCAAATCTTCCTGGTAATTTACTATGCCAAGTATAGTCTCTAGCTCTGGCGGCATCTCTTGGATGGCTTTTACCTTTCAGGGTCTGGTTTGTTACCCTCATGTGATACTGAATGGCTGAAGTAACCAACCTCTGGTACACAAATCTGGTACTTTTCAGGGTTCAGCCGTACTCCCCTTTCTCTGGTGCAGTGCAGCATGGCTCTGAGGTTCTTATTGTGCTCCTCTCTTGTCTTTCCAAAGACTAGGATGACGTCGACTGCAACTGTTACTCCCTGTAAACCTTTGTACGTCTCGTCCACTCACCTTTGGAACTCATCTTGAGCAGAGTTAATCCCGAAGGGCAGACGTAGGAATCTATTTGCCGAACGACGTGTTAGAGGAGAGAGCTTTGATGTGCTCAGTTTGATGGCCCAGTATCCGGATCTGGCTCCTGATATCTTTGTGGTGACATTTTTTTAGCATGGTCTGCAGGTAATGAGGCCTTTGTATGGCTTTGTTGAGGTCTCTCGGATTGAGGCATACTCTTAACTTGTTGCCGTGTGGTTTTTCCTCTACCACCAATGCTGATTCACCCAATCAGTGGGCTCTGTCACTTTGTGAATGATGTCCGGTTTTTCCATATTGTCGAGTTCTTTTTTGAACCTGTCACGCAGTGCAATGGGGATGCGGCGTGGTGGATATGCTACGGGTGTGATGTCTGGGTTGATGTGAAAGTGGCATTCACCTGGGAATTCACCAGTGCCTTGGAAAACGTCTGCATATTCCTTTAAAAGTGACTGTGCGTTCTCTCCTTTTGTTACTGCGAACATTAATTGGTTCAGGTTCAGGTCTAGGCTGGCTCTCATGCCTCGTATGGGTGGTGCTTTTGTATTGACTATGTGAAGTTCCAGCATCGCAGAGCGGTCTTTGTGCATACACCTCAGTTGGCAGGTGCCTTGTACTTTTAGCTGCTCACACATACGTGAATCTTTGTGTAGCTGGTTGTAGGGCTATGTCTTTTGAATTTAATGTTATATGCATTTACCCAGACCTCAGTGTAGGCTTGTTCAATGTCTTTTCCAGCATTCTCAGATATGAGCCCGTCTATGAAAAGCTCTTGTTCCTCTTTTTTGCTTGCTTCCATCACAGTGTGCATACCCTTTCTATGGGTCTTTAATCTGCAAACTTTAGCATATTGGTTTGGATTCCTGCAGTTCGCCCCTCGCTGGGCACACATCTTTGGTGCTGTGATGACTTCCACATCTGACACAGCCTAAGTTTGTAGGGGTGGGCTCCCTCAGTTTCGTTCTGTGAGCTGGTCGCCTCGTGTTGGGTTTTCTGCTAATAGAGTCCACTGCTTCTCTCGTGTGCTCTTTATGCGCCGACATCTCTTTCATCTGGGCTTGGGCTACTTCGTAGGAAAGTAAACCTTTTTCTTTAAAACCTTTTTCATCTTCCATCCCCTTCTTACATTCTGTGCCAAATTATGCATCAAATTGGTGTAGGTAGAAAGCTTGTGGGTCTTCAGAACGACCTTGTTTGACAGACAAAGGTAACTTTTTTTGTTATCAAATTTTTATTATTTTGCAAATTGTAACACACAAAACACCAAAATAATGATACAGTGGAACATCATCACGAAAAAGAAAAGGGCAAACAGGTCCAGGACAATCAAACTTAGGGATTACATCATCACAACATAGATTAAAATTAAAATGAACTACACCACCGTGGTCAAATGCAGCCTCATGGTAAGAGCACCTCAAGGTCCACTACCACTTTTTTCCACAGATTAATGGTCTCCTCTTTAGCACCGTGTATACATGCCGTAGATAGTTCCAGATATGCAACATCTATAAAAGATAAAACCCACTGATGATGAGACAGGGAGTGTGGAGGCTTCCACCTTAATGCAACTATCATCTTGCCGGAGGTCAAGCCAGCTAAAAGACCTTTTCCTGCGCTTTGCGCAGATTGTCGGGACAGGTCATTAGTCAAGAAAATTTGAGGCAACAAGGGAATATTAATTTAAAACAAGGAGGCTAGGCTGTTTCTAATTACCTCCCAAAAGCAAAACACAGCTGGACATTCCCAGACCAGGTGAAAAAATGTACCCACCGAATTAGTATGACACAAAGTACAATTTGGGTCAGCTTTAAGCTTCATACAGTAGAGTTTACGAAGTGTCATATATGTCCTATGGATAAAATTCAGGTGGATTTGCTGGTGGTCAGGATTCTTAGATGAACAGATTACCGAGTTCCAAATGGTTCCCCAGTCAAAGTCTGGGGGCAGAGTCGGGATATCTGATCTCCAACAGGTATCTAGATGCAGCTGAACGTACATTTCTTGCAAGACATGTGCATAAAGTTTAGAGACAAAGCCTTAAAAACCATGGTTAGCAATTATCAAATCAAGCAGAGGGTGGTTCTTAAGTGGGGCTTGCCAGGGCACACCATATGTTTTCATTGCAGTTCTCAGCTGAAGATAGAAGAAAAATGTGGAATGCTGCATATTAAACTGAGTACAGTGATTGTCAAATGACAGAAGTCCATTGACATCCATTAATTTGCCCAATGTGCGTACTCTATTATCCCACCATTGTTTGTATTGAGAGCGTTTTATGGGGCATTTATTTATCAGAATGCTTTTATTATTAAAAATTGGAGAATGCGGATTCCATATAGAATCGATTCTAAATACCCTTTCAACACAATGCCAGACCACAACCAAATGAGATAGAATGGGGCCGAATCGAGCCATGCATTTACTCTGAGGGGTGTTAGCAAATAAAACATCTCGCGGTTCCAAAGGGTTAACCAAGGACTCCTCTAACGATCGCCATGCCACATCTATTGAATCATCATACCAAACAACCAAAGGGCGTAAGGTGAAGGACCAATGGTAAAGTTTAAAATTCAGAAGTGATAGCCCTCCATCCGACCTATGGCGATGGGCTATGGATGCCCTAATGCGAGGCCGTTTCCCATTCCAGATGAATTTGGTGATTGCTCTCTCAATAACGGGTAATAGGCGGAAGTGGGATCATTAAGCTCAAAAAACTCATGCAAGGAAGCACGTTCATCTTGACAATAGAAACACGGGATCTAAAAGAATTAGGTAACGCGGACCATCTCTCTAGGTCCACTAAAACCTTAGCTAAAGTACCTTCATAATTATGTTTAACAATAGAATGCAATGAAGGAGAAATCTGAATTCCGAGGTATTTAAATTGTTGGACAATGGGAATTTCAGATGGTAAGGCAATATCTTCCACTGGGGAGTTTAACGGAAGAAAAGCGGACTTGTCCCAATTAATCTTATAGCCTGATATATCACTAAACTTACTAAAAAACTATTCAGAATATCAGGAATAGATTGGGCACAGCCCAGATATTAAAGGATGTCTTCCGTGCATTATGAGATGCTATGTTTACTGCCATTCACCGTTACAGGGATAATGTTATCAGATAAACGGATGGTTTGAGCTAAAGGCTCTAGTGACAAAGCGAATAATAAGGGGCTCAACCGGCAGCCCTGTCTGGAGCCTGTAGTTACATCAAAGGTAGAGGAGCATGTTTTGCCTTTCGATTAGTATACAGTACTTTGATCATATTTATAAAATTAGCTCCAAGACCTATTAGATGAAGCAGGGACCATAGATACTGCCATTCAAGTCTATCAAAGGCCTTCATAGCATCTAAGGAAAAAACTGCAGCCAGAGGAGATGAAGTGGATGCGCTATGT